GTTGGTAATGGACATCGTCTAACTATAGCTCGAGCTGGCTCTTCTGCCATGACTACTAATTCTCGTGCACTGGTTCTTAATGATTTATTGCATGTGCCCTCAGTAACTAAAAACCTTCTTTCTGTGTCAAAGTTTGCTAGAGATAACAAGGTGTTCTTTGAGTTTCATGCGGGATCATGCTTGGTTAAGGATGAAGTGACTAAAGTGGTGTTGCTAAAGGGACAAGAGCATGCAGGCTTTTATCAATTTGTAGCAAATACAGAATGCTTGGAAGCTTGTCATGCCATGGTGGTAGAAGACTCTTGTAGTAACAATAAAAAGTATGATCTATGGCACAAGAGGCTTGGGCATCCTGCTCATCTGGTTCTTGTGCAAGCATGTAAAGAAGTTGGTGTAGTGTTTCCTTCTAGAAATAATATGGTTGACAGTTCATTCTGTGTTGCATGTAGATTGGGTAAAAGCCATAAATTGCCATTCAATCAATCTCAAACAATGTATACCACGCCGTTTCATCTAGTTTTCAGTGATGTATGGGGTCCAGCACACATAGCTTCCAATGGATATAGGTATTATGTCTCTTTCGTCGATGCGTGCACGAGACATAGTTGGGTTTACTTGCTTAAAACCAAGGATCAGGTTCTGTCAACTTTTCAGTTGTTCTTCAGCTTGATACAAACTCAATTCAATGCTACTGTGAAAGAAGTTCAAAGCGATTGGGGAGATGAGTATCGGTCAGTCTCCACTTGGCTTAAATCTCTAGGTGTGGTGCATCGTCTAGCATGCCCACATATATCCGAGCAAAACGGTGTGGTTGAGTGAAAACACAGACACATAATTGAGTCAGCACTAGTTCTTATGGCTCAAGCTTCGATTCCATTTAAGTTCTGGTCATATGCAGTGTGCACTGCTGTGCATCTCATTAATCGGCTACCTACGAAAGTTCTTCAAAACAAATCCCCATAAAAGGTGTTGTACTCAAAGAAACCAGACTATGGTTACCTCAGAGTTTTTGGTTGTCGTTGCTTTCCCCATTTACGGCCATATAATGCTCATAAACTCAACTATCGATCCTCTCAGTGCGTGTTCTTGGGGTACAAAACTCAGCACAAAGGTTATCAATGCATGGACTCGGACGGTCGAGTGTTTATTTCACGACATGTCGTTTTTGATGAAGAATTTTTTCTCTTTGCAACATCAGGCATCAAGACTGAGTGCAAGTGTACGTTACGTAAGAGTGGTGTACAATTTCCTTTAGTAGCTGGTGCTCAGCGTGTCTGCATGAGAGGAGAATCACAGGGTGTTAACTCTGTGGCCAGTGCTGATGAGTCAGGGTCCAACTCGTTTAATAGTATGAATCTACTTGAAGATGCTAGTCATGAAGCAGATATACAGCCTGTGGTGTCAGGAGAAAATGCTGTAGATGAGGTTGAACAGCGAGATGAGAATGTGGCTGAACAACAAAGTTCAAATGAGACAAGTATCGCGGTGTTGAACCAGGCTAATGGAGCATCTAGCGATAGTGGTCAAAGTGGTCACGATCAGCATAAGATATTACAACCAGTGACACACCATCACATGGTTACACGCAGCAAAAATGGAGTGTTCAAACCCAAGCTGTACTCCTCAACTATCAGTGGTGAATTTGCGTGTCAGAATATTAGCGATATGAGTGAGGTTGAACCTCAAAATATTCATGAAGCCTTCAAGGATCCGTTGTGGAAGGTTGATGTGCTTGCTGAATATGAAGCACTTCAGAGGAATAATATATGGTCGGTCGTCCCTCTACCAGAAGGAAGAACTGTTGTTGGCTGTAGGTGGCTGTTTCGAGTCAAGCGTAATGCTGATGGCTCGATACAAAAATATAAAGCCATACTTGTTGCTAAAGGATTCTCACAAGTGCCTGGTAAGGATTTTCAAGAAACGTTCAGCCCTATTGTAAAAATGTCAACAGTGAATGTTGTGTCGACAATTGCTGCTCGCAATGGTTGGAGTCTAAGACAAGTGGATTTAAATAACGCGTTTTTGAATGGCGAACTAAATGAAGAGGTGTTCATGGAACAACCTCAAGGCTTTGAACAACAGGCTGGAGATGGAAAAAGGTTGGTGTGTAAGCTACAGAAAGCCTTGTATGGGCTACGGCAAGCACCAATGAATTGGTACTCCAAGCTGAAAATTTTTTTGGTGGACTTGGGGTTTCAAAGTTCTCGTGCAGATACCTCGTTGTTCATTAGACATAGTGATTGTACCAGCACGTATGTCTTAGCCTATGTCGATGATATCATTGTTACAGGAGGCAAAAATCAGGACATCGAGCAAGTTGTGAAGCTGCTAGGAGCAAAATTTTCACTCAAAGACTTGGGTAAGCTTAATTTCTTTCTTGGAATTGAAGTTAAGGGTGTTGATGGTGCAGTGTTCCTTAGTCAGAAGAAATATATAATGGAGCTGCTAGATAAGTCAGGAATGAGTAAGGCCACAGCAACTCCAACTCCTATGGTTGCGTCGATTAAACTGTCAAGTAACGGTGCAGGCAGTTTGTTAGAAAACGCAAGGGAATATCACAGTTTAGTTGGGTCCTTGTTGTATGCCTGTCATACAAGGCCAGACATAGCTTATTGTGTGAATAAGCTAGCACAGTTTATGCATGCACCATGCGAACAACACTTGGTGGTTGTCAAACGGGTGCTAAGATATCTTAAGGGGACACTTGATTATGGCCTGGTGTTTTTGCCGAGAACAGAACCATTTCAGCTTGTGGCCTTTGTTGATGCAGACTGGGGAAGTAGTATTGATGATAGAAGGTCCATATCAGGCACCTGTGTTTTCCTAGGTGGTAGTATGGTTCAGTGGAGTTCAAAGAAACAAAAGATAGTCTCGAGATCCACCACAGAGACTGAGTACAGGAGCCTAGATGCCACATCTGATGTCGTTTGGCTTGAAGCATTGCTGACTGATATGAAAGTTCCAGTTCAAGCTGCTTCAGTGGTGTGGAGTGACAACACCAGTGCGATTTCCATGAGTGCTAATCCAGTACACCACTCTAGGACAAAGCATGTGGAGTTAGACATACACTTTGTGAGGGAACGTGTGGCTGCAGGAAGACTTCAAGTGAATTTTGTACCTTTTGAACATCAAGTAGCAGACGGACTTACTAAAGCACTAACGAAAGATAGCTTTGCTCAGTTCAGGCAAAGACTTGGTGTGCTGTCATTTCTTGAAGTTGAGAAGAGAAAAAGTAGGGAGGATATTGAAGTGAATATTCTAGAATGAATATAGAATGAGCTGTTGAAGTAATTTACTGTGTGTGTGTAATGTAGTGCAGTAAGTTTGTTAGGATTCTGTTATACCAGATTACCAGCTTGTGGAGTCAGTTACCACGTGTATATAAACCATGTGTTGTTAATGAAAAGAACTAAGTAACTTCCATCAAGATTTCCAGCTTTCTTTACTCATTCTAATACTGCTAAGCTTCCATGTAATAATACCATACTCCGTACACCAGTATGTATGTTCAGGGCTCATCATGTTTGTTTCTGCTGAAGTACTCGAAGGTAAAGATTATATAATTTGGTTTATACCTGCAAAGTGAACTTGATGTTTTCGTAAATAGGACTTTCCCTTCTAAGAAGGGAAGAGTTTGTTCATATACACTGGAGCACAACAAAGTCTGTGGTTATTGATTGGGGCTTTGTTGTTCAAATTTTTCTTGACCTCCATAGGTGTCAACTTGTCGCTGCTATCTCGCGTAATGTCGTCTAGGCTGTCACGTGGAACCTACAATGGGGGACTGCTCTCGACGGAAGCCGGGACTATTGCTCGAGTGATTGCAGATGCCACAATAACAATAGCTGGCTTCTTTGGTCGAAGTCAACTTTTGAACATCACTCTACTTCCTTCGCTAGTGATATGCGTCGCCTCTATCGTTGCTACATGCTGTACCTATAATTCATTATTTTGATCGATTCCATAAAGAATAAGAAGAAAAAGAAATCAATATCTCCCTCACAAAATTCAATGATAATCCTTCACAGATTTTACCTATTCAAATTTATTTTCATATCATTATCTTTATTATCCAGGTTTAGTAGGTGAATGTAGATTATGGATATGTATACAGAGCGAATATATTCAACTTTTTAAATTAAATTGTGGACATGCATTAGTTTAATAAATTTTTTAATATTTATAGCCAGTAGTATTATCCATAAGGTGCATTAAACCATGCCCTACTGTCTTCCCTCCCTACTTATTTGTCCGTACAATTCTTATGTCCATATAAATGGATTGGGAAATCAGCCATCTTGGACTTCATTGAGTGTCCTATGCCCTAGTCTTGACCAAACAGCTTTACAAGGTGATTCATCTTGGAAAAAATTATGGGTCCGGTTTCAACAGGCCATTTGGAGCTCCGAACCCATGATCCAAACGACAATCCATCCGTTACCAATCAATTATTTCAAGGATCCTCTAGACCTGTAGAGATGTATTCAAGGGATTGAATCCATAGGGAAAATCATTGAATCAGTCTTTCTCTAGATTCAGTAATGATTATATATCTTGGCAAGAACTTCTTAATACGACCGAATGTCTGGGCAGAGGGAAGTGTTTTGCAAAGACACTGTGATGACCATATGGCACTGTCATGGAGTGTGAACATTTGAATTCTGATGAGTTAAAATAATATTAAGCCCATTATTTGAACTTCAATCTGAATCTTCCCTATGAAGAGGGTGGAAATGGTCAAGTTCACACTCTGATTTCAAAGCTGTGGCTTGTCTATAACGCTTTCAGTGTTTTGTTCTTCAGTTCAACGGTGTAAGAATCACATTATGTGTTTCATTTTGGAACTTTTGTTACATAAAAGAAATTTCTATGAAAAGGAACCACTTCCTTAAGTTTTACAATTTGATCAGCTAAATGTAAGGAACAAGTTTAGTTCACGTTAAGACTCCACAAATTTTGTCGGTTTGATCTTACAACACTTCTTCATATCCGAGCTCTACAAGAAAATGGCTGTATTGTTTGTTAATTAGTGAAGAACATGAATTGAGTAGGCCTCTTGCTGCATGCTGATAGGAGTTTCCATGGTAAAAAACCTTTCCGATCTTCATACTAGAAGACCATGCAATCATCTTGGATAAGGGAGGCCTCAAAAGCTTGCTGTCTCGGTTGTTGTCCGAATTGTTTTCCTGTTTTTCCCAAATCTCAGGCTGCAACTTCAGGGATTCCAAGCACCGCAGCGGTGACATTACGGTACGAGTTCGAGGTTAGCACGGTTTCTTCTCTGTACCCACATTTCAAATTCACGAATCACGAATCACTTCCTTCGTTCGAGGAATCACTTTCTTATTTCAACAAAGTGTACCCTCAATACTCCCAGACGGACGAGGCTGACAAAATCCGAGCTCTAGAATACCATCATCTTTCCATCTCCAACTATGTTTGCCTTGACTATGTTGGCCATTGCCTGTTCTCATATTCTCAGCTTGAAAATCAATGTCCAGGGTCTCCTGTTACTTCTTCATCACCTCCATTGCACTCACTTACCTTAGAATCTGTGTTTTTTAACATTTCCCACATGTCGGTAAACTTAAATTCTCAGCTAAAATATGGTAGTGAAGAGTCAGAATTTCAATGTCATATCAGGAAAAGGATCATGGCATTCATGAACATCTCAGAAACTGATTACAACATGGTTTTCACTGCAAATCATTCCGCTGCTTTCAAGCTAATTGCAGAGTTTTATCCATTTCTATCCAGTCGAAATCTTTTGACAGTTTACGACCATCAAAGCGAGGCCGTGGAGGTGATGATCGAGAGCTCGAAGAAGAGAGGAGCCAATGTCATGTCGGCTAGTTTCTCGTGGCCTAATCTACAAATATATACGGAAAATTTGAGAAAGAAGATGGTTAGTAAAAGCAAGCGCAAGAAGAAAGGACTTTTCGTTTTTCCACTCCAATCAAGGGTAACAGGGTCGAGATATTCATATTTATGGATGAGCCTGGCTCGGGAGAATAGGTGGCATGTGTTGCTTGATGCGTCTGCATTGGGAGCTAAAGACATGGACACCTTGGGGCTTTCTCTCTTTAATCCTGACTTTCTAATTTGCTCATTCTTCAAGGTTTTCGGAGAAAATCCATCTGGATTCTGTTGCTTGTTTGTCAAGAAATCCAGTGCTTTGGTTCTGAAGGACTCAGCCACCAGCACGAATGTGGGGATAGTGAATCTTGTCCCGGCACCATGGCCAACTCGAGTCCTCGAAAAGCCGGCTATAATTTCCGGCTCCAAAACCGAACCAGTGGATGAATTTCCAGTTCAAGCTTCATTCTCGGGCCCCTTATCTGAAACCGGTGGTGAAGTACATAATCCTGAAGGAACCAAAGCAAAGAAAAAGACAGTATCGTTTTCTGAAATTGAAGAAGTGATAGATGCATCCTTTGAATCTGGTAGCACCAGCACTACCCATCATATCAAAAACCGGAAACCCGAATGCAGAAGCTTGGATCATGCAGATTCATTAGGCATGATGAAAATCAAGATCAGGACAAGGAACCTGATCAACTGGTTGGTGAATGCACTGATGAGCCTTCAACATCCACATTCAGAAACTGGAGTTTCTGCTGTTAGAATCTACGGGCCAAAAGTAGACTTCGACCGAGGGCCCGCCGTTGCATTTAACGTGTTCGATTGGAAAGGAGAGAAGATCGATCCTGCATTGGTGCAGAAGCTGGCTGATAGAAACAACATTTCTTTAAGCGTTGGGATTTTGCAGCACATTTGGTTCTCGGATAAGCATGAAGAAGAGAAGGTGAAGGCATCGGAGACGGTGCAGAGCAAGAAAAGCGATGAGCTTGATCGTGGGGTGTCTGTCGTCACTGCTGCGGTTGGGTTCTTGACGAATTTCGGAGACGTTTATAAGGTTTGGACATTTGTTTCCAGGTTCCTGGATGCTGATTTTTTGGAGAAAGAGACCCGGAGATACAAAGCTATTAATCAGGAAACAGTTGAAATTTAGAGACTCCAATCATCAGTTAATGAATGCGAACAAAAAGATTGAAGTTTATCATCAACCTGAAAAGATCGACATAAAAGCAAAGACAATACATGTCTGTATTGCAATTCGCTAAACCACCAGTTTTAAATTATCCCTTTCTCTAATGTTTAAAATTTGTCTGTCAAAACTTAAGAGGTGGTATCAATAATGATAAAGAGATTATTATTCTCTCTAAATAATCTAGGTTCGAAGAGTTGGTTAAATTTGATTTTACATGTAATGTTGAAGTTCAACAATCAAGCCTCTGCAAACGCCAGATAAAAAACACAACTTTCCACTAAATTATCAGTTTCGATATGATTTAGTATATAAACTTTTAATTTTTTTAAAAATCATACTTAAAGTTTAGTTTTTGTTTTATTTTAGTGTCTCGATGTTAAAAATTTTAGTTTTTGTTCCATTTCAGTACTCCACTCAAAATTTAACGTTAACTTTTGAAAAAAATAGAAAGTTTAGGTACTGAAACGAGCCAAAACTGATAGTTTAGGTAAACACGCTAAATTTTTAACGGCGGGGTACTAAATGAAATGAAAACGTTAGATATGATTTTGAAAAAAATTAAAAGTTTAGGTACTAAAACGGACCAAAACTGATAGTTTATATACTATATGCATAATTTATTCTATTTTAAAGTTCGATACAACATTCATTTGATACCGGATAATTTCTAAATATTCAAATCTTACACAATTTACCCTCATTTAACTTTTCTTAATAGTGATTAAAAAGATTTATTGTTCTACAATGATTCAGATTCGAACAACATAATTTATATATGTACATGAATTTAGATCAAAATATTTTTGAAAGAAAAAAATTCTGTTAATTAGTAGGTCTAATTTAGATACTGTAAATTTTCCTTTTTTTACAATAAAAATAAATTATCATTATATTCAAGAGAAAATTAAGATGGTGCAATGGAAATAAAAAAACAAGTTCTATGCATATTTATATTAGTAAGAAAGTGAGAAAATCAAAGTTTGAAAAGTTAAAAAAGAGAATATTACATATTTTAACTTACTCTTTCTAAATTATTTTTAATCATTATTTAGATATTTATTTTTAAAATAATATTAAATAGTACGAGTCTAGAAGACTAGAACTATTTATAATATAATCTATAAATATTTATAAGATTAATGACTAAGATATTGATACATGTGAACAATCCAAATGACACTACATTTTATAAATAAGAGTGTAGATTTTATTATTGCAATGGTGTAAGAGATACACTAGAGGTAGATAAGAATGATGAAAAGAGAAAAATGGTGAAATAAATGTGTGATATATTGTAATTGTATTAAAAAAATTTCTCTTCTTTTTTTAATTATAAGTTTCTTGTTTAAATCTCGTCTATATATATATATATATAGAGTCCCACATAAATAGAACAAAGACACACAAAAAAGGTAAACATTAAAGAAATAATAATCTATCAATAAAGGAACAAACACATAAGGAATGAAAGAAGCCATTCACAAAAATCGCAATGGTATCTTCAAACACGAAACGAGCATAAACATCAGTTAGGCCAATCAACACATCAACCATGCTCATTTGTTGGATATTAGAAGATATTTCAGATTTTTTAATACATTAGACTAAATCAATCACTTTTTATATTTAGATATAAATAAACGTTCTATCTCTAATCAAATGTACTAAACTAGACATTGTATTCATTTGAATCTTGGACAAGTGATCAAATGAATAGGTCGTAAAGGGTAGGTTTTATCGTATCCTAATCTATAGGTAACTTTTCCTTTATTAGATTTTAAATATTATGCATATCTACATCTAAAACTAAATTGATATTGTTGAATTGTTTATTAATGGATACCATGGATTGGGTTCATACTTATTGCATGTTAATGGACGCATGAAGTTGGGTTATGGATATTAACAATGAACAATAGTGGCAAAAAATTCACCTTCAAGGTTTTTTTGAACTATTTCTTTATATGGTATAAATAACTCAACTAATCTAATACATCTTTGTTAATTTTGGATTGCGTTCATATAATGATAATTTTGGTTTGCGTTCAGATAATGATAACAACAATCTCATCATGAGATTTGCATTGCATGCTACATTAATGGACCATATATCCTCGAAGACGAGCCTCCAATTCCGATGTCTCTCTCCTTAAACGACAAGTTTAAAATGTTTAAGTTTTAAAGTTGAGTAACTATGTCAAACCGTATAAGAAACTTAGCTAGTTATATTTTTTTTCCAAAAACCTCTTTTATAAGAAAACATAGAATCTTTGATGTATGTCTTTAAAGTTTGGTGGTTTAAATTTGTCACACAAATTTAATGTTAGTATATATCGTAGAAAAGAATATTTATATTACACAAAGAACAAATAAATGAAAATAATTTAATAATTATAGTTTGACACTCACAAAATGGAGGTCTTCTGAACACTACAACTATTAAATAACTCATGAATTAGGTGATTATCTTTATATTCCTAATAACAATACAAATACCCATTGAAATTTACACTATATGAGCAATGCATTCTTCGAACTTTACATGAAAAACAAAATCGCAAAATTTTGGCAAGAGCATACGTGGTCTTGGTTTTACAATATATATGTAGTCTTTGACTCTTTGTACTTCTCCCTAAAATACATTGGACCTATAACGTATAATAGTTTATATCCCTCGCACATTCTTCCTTGTATGTATAAATTTCCAGGTTCATGCATGCCCTGATAATAACCTCTGCATCATTTCTTGTCAATACTCTCGTAACTGAAGTTCTAGTTTGACAATGAAATGAGGCGTCAAAATTAACTTTAAACATGCCCTGGCTTAGGAGACCACCTACACTGCATGATGTTGCAGATTAACACTACCATCGCTTACAACCTTTAACTTGAACGAAGATGCCTAGCCTTGAATGTCGCATGTACGAAGCGAAGTACCCTGAGGTGGATATGACGGTGATGATACAAGTGAAAAATTTCGCCGACATGGTTGCCTATGTTTCGCTCCTCGAGTACAACAACATCGAAGGCATGATCTTGTTCTCGGAGCTCTCCCGCCGCCGGATTCGTTGCGTTAGCAGTCTAATCAAGGTGGGCAGAACCGATCCCGTTATGGTCCTACGTGTCAAAATGTTTAAAACAATAGGTTCAAAGTTTAATCCAAGACAAGCAAAGCAAGGTTCAAGCATCCGTTGAAGGATTGGGAGAAGGAAAAAGAGCTCGCATAGCGGCCATCTCATGTGTGAGCGCATTAATACGTTCATTCATAGTTGTGTTGTTCGCGCGTATCTCCCGGAGAATTTCCAATTGTTGAGCTCCCATTGTGGATAAATGAGACTCTATGAAAGTTATGCGTGAATCCATGGATGTGTATCGGAAATCGAATGTCTCCATAAAAGATTGAAAATATGGAGGTATTGGATCCGCTTGTTGTGCTTGTTCTTCGGGCTGCTCCGGCTCGTCGTCGGCTTCGTCAATATCATGCATTAGTTATTGAAGCTCTGGATCGTCGTCCACTCCCAGTGGAGCTCGTGAAGAACTAGCTCCTGGAGTTTCTTCAGAGGATCGAACCCATTCACCGGTTTCCTTATCCTTCGTCCATCCCGATCTCGTTAAGGAAAGAAGATTAATTTGATTCTTGAGAGGGATGACTACATCAAGTTGTACCCGAAGTTCGACTTTCTTAAACAAATTACTCAATAGATAACTGTAAACTAGACTCGGACAAGTTTTCTTATTAGGAACGAGATTCACGGTGTCAACGAGAACTGAAAAGATGATATGAGGAAGGTACATATTATTCTGGATACAATGTATCCACCACAAATCTAAGGCTCTAAGAGTGGAGTATTTTCCTCTGGATGGTCTAAACCACCAAGAGATCATAAGATGAAAAAATCGATCGTGATGATCTAAGACACTCACACTCGATATAACCTTGTAACGGGAACCGACAATTTGTTTTTCATTGTATAATCCATCATCATCTAAGCCAAAAGCATTTGTTATATACTGAGAATCAATGTGAATGAATTGACCAAGAAGATAGGATCGGATCCTTATGGTTGTAGTTTGTTCTCGATTTTGAATGCAAACGGCATTGGAATAGAAAATTCGAACGAGATGTTGGTAAACAATTGGTTCGAGTTGATAGAGTTTATCAAATTTTCAATCTAATAGGGTAGGTAGATATCTAAAGTTCATATCTACCATAGCTTGAAGGGACGGGATGCGTTCTTCGCGAATTTTATATGACTCAAAGTAATGAGAATACCTATAGTAGAGATCTTATCTACGTCCAGGTTCATTAAAATAAGAATTTCCTATAGTCATATTGGAATCAGGAATTTGAGGAGGAATTGGAGGATTTGGATTTGGAGGAGGGTTTTGAGGTCGGTTTGATCGACTAGAAGATGACCTAGGGCGTTTGTGAGATATGACTTAGGAAATCGGAATAGAATGGATAACCTGCAATTTTGAAAACACATGTATTCAAATATATCAATCCCAAAACTCAAATGAGTCCTCAATATTTCAAGGTTCTCTAAAACAATCCTAATGGGCAAAGTTTTGAAAACTATTTTGAAAATAATGTTTGAGAATCATAATACGTATGATTTTCATGAAACAACATAATTAAACCAAAAACATCAATTAAACCCATGATTTTCGGGAAAAATTATATTTTGAAATTTTTTGAAAAATATTGTGTTTTTGATGAAATTAGTTTTAGAATCTAGTTTAGAAATAACTAGCCCTAAGTTCAAAATTTAATAAAATAGAGGTTTTTGGAAAAATACCTTAAAAATTTCGGATTGAGTGGAATTTGATGTTGTTTGCACAAATTAATGATTGAAGCAGGATTGGGAGTTGATATGCAACCGAATTCCGACTAAAAAATCAATGTTTTGAAGCAATGTATTGATTTAGGGAGATGGAGAGAGAGCACGGCGGTAAAGCTAGAGAGGAGAGGGTTTGAGAGAATGAGGTTTTTGGGGTGTTTATTAATAGACCCCGTGGAGAATATCGGTACCATCAGGGGGTATCGATA